ATATAAGACCAGTCAGATATATAGACTGACAGCTGTGGGATTCGAACCCACGCCCTTTCGGACTGACGCCTAAAGCCAGCGCCTTGGATCACTCGGCCAAACTGTCGATGAGTGCTTCAAAAATCATAGCGGAGAAGATGCGTTACACTATAGGACATGACACAAAAACGGTTTCGAACCGTTTCCGCGGAATGCGTTCTTCATCAAATCACACGAAAAGAAATTTCTAACAGCTGTGGGATTCGAACCCACGCCCTTGCGGACTGACGCCTGAAGCCAGCGCCTTAGACCACTCGGCCAAACTGTCGATGAGTGCTTCAGGATTCATAGCCGAGGTGATGCATCGCTCTGCCAAACCAGAGGACACAAAAAATGGATTGAACGGATTCTGCGAGGCGCGATGGCACAATATCGATCAAAAGGTTTTGGTCTTGCACTACCTCGCTTCTGAAAGGGTCTCGGTTCTTAATATAAGACCAGTCAGGTATGTAGACTGACAGCTGTGGGGTTCGAACCCACGCCCTTTCGGACTGACGCCTAAAGCCAGCGCCTTGGACCACTCGGCCAAACTGTCGATGAGTGCTTCAAGATTCATAGCCGAGGTGACGCATCGCTCTGCCAAACCAGAGGACACAAAAATGGGTTGAACGGTTTCTGCGAGGTGCGATGGCGCAATATCGATCAGAAGGTGTTGATCCTGCACTACCTCGCTTCTGAAAAGGTCTCGGTTCTTAATATAACCCCAGTCAGGTATATAGACTGACAGCTGTGGGGTTCGAACCCACGCCCTTACGGACTGACGCCTAAAGCCAGCGCCTTGGACCACTCGGCCAAACTGTCGATGAGTGCTTCACGATTCATAGCCGAGGTGATGCATCGCTCTGCCAAACCAGAGGACACAAAAATGGGTTGAACGGTTTCTGCGAGGTGCGATGGCGCAATATCGATCAGAAGGTTTTGATCTTGTACTACCTCGCTTCTGAAAAGCTCTGGGTTCTCAATATAACACCAGTCAGATATATAGACTGACAGCTGTGGGGTTCGAACCCACGCCCTTTCGGATTGGCCCCTTAGGCTAACGCCTTTGACCCCTCGGCCATAACTAGTCGAACAGGGGTCGGCCAGGCCGAAGGCCTGGCCAATATCGAGGTAATCTTATCGAGGCAATATCGAGGATATTTATCGTTGGATTAATATCCAATATCGTCCAATATCGAATATTTTTTTATAGCTTACAAAAAAATAGTCGACAACGACTATTTTTTTATGTCCTAGAACTGGATATGATCCTATTCTCTGCTCTAGTTGAGGAGGATCTTGCTACGCTGCAAGGTAACTTGAAGTTTAATTTGTCGCCCATTTTCACCGCGTTTACAACGCGTGAAGTCCTGTACTTCAGTTTACTAAGTCTTTTCCATCTCCCTCGCACTTCTTGCTTCCAAACATTTTCTTCCGAGTGGTGCTCTTGGTATGTAATACAGCTGCTATCGAAGATCTTCAGATGTTTGAGGAAGGTTTCGGGTAATTACCACTTGGATAACTGTAATTCATGGGATGGGATGGTACAGATGGGTCGGGTTGTTGATCGTTTAAAAGTGGTCTCTCGGGTCACCAGACGAATTATTCGTAGATTGCGATGTGAAACGTGTATTGTGCATTTTCTTGTCATTACACCGTGTCTTGAAGCGCGAGCAGCTCTTTGCCGGGAGCATGAGTCAACGATCCTTTATGGTTCGTGCGCTGACCGGTTAGGAATTAAAACTGCACTGATATTCATCGAACCTTGTACCTCAAGCTGATTCCGGTGCATTCTCCGGTGAATTCGCACTACCCGATTGTGAGTCAAATTGACCGGAATTGTCCTAGGTTGCGTCATAAAAAACTGTCCGAGCAGCATTGTGGTATGCAATTCGTGACAGACTATATTTTCTCTTGTTTACGGGTGAATAGTGATATGTGGACTCGTAGTCGACGGAGATCTGTGCCCATTTTCTACAGTATCGATAATGGAACATGGGCCTACTATTTGATAGTATATTTCGTGGTGCACGGCAAGGAGATGATGGGTTCGAGATGGATCCAGGGACATATGCCGATATCTCGTCTGACGAAGAGAAGGGGAATACGCTGGAAGCATTGTTATCTTTCGCAATCTATCAGTGCTATGATTTTGTTACTGCAGCACTTTGCTTCGTCCTTATTGTGAGGATCAGCATGGGACCTGACTATCCTACTGGTATCGCTGAGTATTTTGTTGAAGCCTTACGAGGGCATGCTCCACTCAGGACTCTCCAGGATCCAGCTTCAAGCTCATCGTTCCAATCAGATCGACTAAGCTGGCGTGAATATTGGAGTCAGGTCAAACACTTGTCTGATATCGAGGCATTGCGAGAGCATGATAGTGGTTGGTTGCATCTCATGAACCGTGCCTTCACGTCTCAGCTGAACTCGATAACAGCTTCGACGTTCTCATCGTACAGTGCCGGCAAACGCCATCGGCGAGCTAGGCCATCTGGTAATCGCTATGCTGGTAAGAGGCGTCCAAAGCGTAAGGCCAACCAAAATGATGCAGCTCCCGATGTCGATTAACACCGGATGAGTGGTACCCATGGCTACGGCGAGCAGCCCTCGCGGGCGTGTCTCAACTGTCGTCTCTGATGACAGTGCGGTTATCATGGGGTAGCCTCTTGGCTCGAAGGCTTGTGTCATTATTTTTTCCGAGAAATGTAGTCTGTGGGTGGCACCCATGATTATCCGCGAGCAGCCCGTTTTGGGCGTGTCTCAACTGTCGTCTCGAACAACAGTGCGGTTATCATGGGGAAACCTCTGATTTCGGGGCGCAGATCATGTATACTTCATAAATCTTCATCCGTCTTGTGTGAGTCAATTATAATCGTGCATCACTATCCCAAGGCGGAAGGGGCAGGACTTACCATCATTTGTTGAAATCATCCTATCACGATGATGGGTCATCACTGGCCCGTTCCACAAGCGATGTCTTAGTCCTTGTAATACAGGGCTTGTATTATCACGATACAAGGCTCATGACCGTGACGGTCAGTAAACAAGTGCATGAAGACTATCTCAACGTGATGCAACTTTGCAGTGGGACTCCCACTGTGAGAGTCTCGGACCCCCAACCCTAATTCATAGGGCTCAACTGAGATGAAACTATGAACCGCTATTTTCGCTTGGACAGAGTATGATTACCATGTCTAGAGTATCCATCATTTCGGATACTGTATTATCTATCATGATTAAACATGCCAAAACATGCAACTGGGCTGCGAAACTCCGCAGGGTTAAATTATCAACGATCATAATATACTTCGTTTTCAAGAAACTTTCAAAAGAATTATCAAGGCTCTAGAAGCTCATTGTTAACATTCCCACCCCCTTTCCACCTTCCTCTGGACACTGATTGATATCTTGCGTCTACGTTGTCGGACAATAAATCATTCAAATACTATGAATTGACGACACAAGTAGTAGGGGAAAATAACAGAGTCTGCGCCAAATTATCACTACGACTGACAGTGTCAGTCAGACACAGAAAACGAGGTAGGGTCAAGAGGTAGGGACACAAAAATGGGTTGAACGGTTTCTGCGAGGTGCGATGGCGCAATATCGATCAGAAGGTTTTGATCTTGCACTACCTCGCTTCTGAAAAGATCTGGGTTCTCAATATAACACCAATCAGGTATATAGACTGACAGCTGTGGGGATCGAACCCACGCCCTTTCGGACTGGCGCCTTAAGCCAGCGCCTTAGACCACTCGGCCAAACTGTCGATGAGTGATTCAAGATTCATAGCCGAGGTGATGCATCGCTCTGCCAAAATGAAGGTCCATTTATGGGGCTAGTTCAAGGACGAATGTATTGAGATTTACTGTTAGATGGGAACGAGCTCAGAGACCTCCTCGTGGTGTTCCTGGAAACTCAACTATAATGTTTTATTTTTTTTGTTGAGGCTAACATCTGAGCATTCGATTGTTTCCTCTCTGGTTCCTTGTACAATTTGTTATTGTTTTGTCGGTTTGCTTCTGGTGTTATCACGTCTCTAAGTCCTTGTTATTGCAGTCCAACTGAATGGGTCCGAGTATGGTATTTGTCCGACACACATATGTATGGTAAGTGATGCACATGTATGTTCTGTTTACTGTTCATTTGAAGTTGCCTTGCGTTGCGGTACTGGTTGGTTAGTCACCTGTTTGGTGCACTAATGGATGTGTCCCCGTGTTGGGGGAGTTTGCTCGGGGTCGAACGAGTATGCGGTCGGCAGGTGTCGGAATCCATGTGTGGTTGGATGGTCGATCCCTAATTAGGGGTAAATGTGTCGTGTGGTGGATAAAGGGTACCATTGTCAAGTCGGTCGATTCGGGTGGTGCGACGCTAGATTTGTGTAAACTACTAGCTTCGTGTACTAAATAATCGTGATGATTTTAAATCATATACATGTTTATCATAAGTGTTATTTGTTCTTTCGCATTGCTGCTCGTTTATTTTGTTTGATTCATCTTCATGGCGATTTCGAGTTCCAGCCGCCTCTGAGTGGCGTTATGCTTGAATTGCCCTCGTATTTTGTTTATCCTTTGTCTTTAGGTTCCTTTTCCTTTGTTT